TAATTACAATAACCATAGCCAACATCATTCCATAATCACATCGAACAATAATGCCAACCATCGCATCATCAATATCACATACCACTCATTGAAATGCAAGGTTAGAGCGACACAGTTCGGTTGAAGCCTACATCTCAAAAGAATGAGATTTCTAACTACACAACGGAGCCAAGACAACAAAGGGGATTTCGAACCATCACTCAACGAAATCCAACCCAGGGTACGATTCCGGACCATCACTCAATGGAATCGCGAAGTATAAGGGATTCCAGACCATCACTCAACGGAATCCAAACCAGGATACGATTCCAGACCATCACTCAACATAATCGCGGAGTAGAAGGGACTCCAGACCATCACTCAACGGAATCCAAACCAGGACACGATTTCGGACCATCACTCAATAGAATCGCGGAGTAGAAGGGATTCCAGACCATCACTTAACGAAATCCAAACCAGGACACGATTCCGGACCATCACTCAACAGAATCACGGATTAGAAGGGATTCCGGACCATCACTCAACGGAATCCAAACCAGGACACGATTCCGGACCATCACTTAACGGAATCGTGGAGTATAATGTATAACACCACTCAATGAACCAAGACATGAATCAAGTTACTCAAGTTACAAAGACTCAACGAAACGAGAATGAAATAATGACACGAGGGGTGAAACATGTTTCGAAGCAACAAACCCCATGACAATGGGTTAACGGTCCACTATTAGCCCTCACATTTTATTACATCAATCCAATCATACAATACAAACCATATTTCCAATGAACAAGTTAAATCATACTTAATGAAAATAGATCAATGGTTAGAAAACACTTCAATAGAATTTACATTTAATAAACATAGGTCTATGGCATATATATATAATTCACATTTCAATATAAATGTCATTTATAACCCAAATCATATTCACAAATGATATTAATATAAGAAATTAAGGTAGTAATTACATCACATATATTCCAGTCACTCTCTAACCAATGTGACCCCGTTAGACTTAACTTCGTATCCCGTGGTACTAGATTTAGTATTTAAAACATTTCGAGACATATTGACCAAAAGTCAACTCTCGGGTAATGGTAGGGTCCACAACCCTGCAAATTCGATCCGGAAGATCCGTATATCGGATTTCCGATCCCTAACCTCCCAAAGTCCACATTATGATCATAGAACCATATACTAAATTTTCATCGCGATCCAACGGTCGGATATTCGCCAATTGCTAGACTTAGGTGACGGTTAACAATTAATTTTACAAACTTAGAAATCCAATTAGGGAAGATCCATATGTCGGACTCCCAATCCGTAAGTTTCTATGACCCACAAATATTATGTTCTATCACACATTACGGTTTGGTGATGATCCAATGGTTGGATCGTTGATTCATATTTTGACCAACTAAGGTATCGTAATGAAACTAAGTCCAAACAATCAAATTACGTCATACGGATATCAATTATGAAATAAAGGCATCTATTTGAACTTAAAAGAACATCGTCAGCCCACTGGCCAGGCCGCCGCCGCACGCACCGCCCCGACTTGCCGGAAAATTCAACTATTTTTAAAAATTACCAAAATTTACAGAAATGAAGATCTCAATGAGTAGAGCAAGTTTTATACCTGTGGCCAAGTCCAATTTGGCCGGGAAAAGCTCCAATTTCCCTCGAACTCGCTGGAAACCCTAGAAATGGGTGTTCTCGATTCGTCACCTCCGGTGCACCGCCGCCCCTAAAATTGTTTGGGCCTTGCTCCAGACCTCAAGATAAGTCTAGGGGTGCTGCTATTTGATCCAAATCGTTTCAGATTTGGTGGATTTCGAACAAGGGGGTAGCGACACCCACACTTTCAATCTTCGTGAAATCTCAACCAATTCTTGTCTATTTTGCTAGAATGGAACGATGGAAGGTTGTGATGATGTTTAGTGGTGATGAGGGGTCCTAAATTCACCTGAAAAATGACTTAAAACCGTCAGAAAAACACACGGTTTTCCAAATTCTAAAAACAGGTCACGGTTTGGAAATGGGTCAAGGGAAGAGGGGGTTGATTGTGTGTCTTCTCACTCCCTCATTTCCCTCCATGTCCTTCTTCCTGATTCGTCCTCCCATTTTCCTCCTTTCCCTCCTGCACTCTGTTCTTTCCTCTTTCTCGATGCCCAATCCGACGCCCTCCCCTTCTCCTTTTCATTGGCTCCCTTCCTCCCTTCTAATTGGCTCCCTTAACTCTCCCATACATAATTGGGTTGGTCCTCCCTTTTCTTTTTTCTTTTTGGTCATCATCCCCACGGGGAGTTTTAAAGAAAATTAAAATCTATAGTTTTGAAACACAACTTCAGATGTCCGCAATTGTACCGTTATAATCCGAACTCGCAAACGGCTTTTGCCTATGCGTTTGTAGTCTCGAAATCTATTCAACAATGTAAATTGTGACCTCGAATGGTCTACGGATTTTAAATAATTAATTTCCCAAAAAAAAAAATATGAAATCTCTGTAATACCAATACGTAGATTATAATAATGAAATCCAGGAACGGGATTTCACAGTTGGCTATCTTGCAACCTTGGCTGAAATCCACAGCAAAAACAGCAAACCTCCCAGAGGCTGCTTTTGGGTATTGTATTCAGTGACGAATGAGATGTTGAGTTCGTGTAAAGGGATGATGAGGACAGTGCGGGAGAGATCAGAGTCAGGAGCAAAGTTCAAAGAGCCAGCATGGTGGTTGAGGTTGGCGAGCCGAGATCCGAAAGGAGCACCAGAGATGTCGTACTGGATCAGCCGATACACGTCGACGACGGTGGCGACGTCGCAGAGCTCAACGTAGGCGAACGAGATTCTTTCAAGGCGGAATGTGAGAAACTAAAGTCTGAGTTTCAATCTCCGTTTACAGCTCCAGAAGACGCAAGAATCAAATTCTGATTTAATTCTTGCAGTACGAGACCTGGAAGAAATTTTGGAGCAGAAAAATAGTGAAATAGCCAATCTTTCCAGCAGGCCAGAATCCTGCGGGGATGCTGCCGGGTTGAAGGCAACCATCTTTAAAGGTGGGACAAGTGAGGATTAGGAGCAATTAGAGCTGGAGGATCTTGTTCAGGAGCACAACAATGCCAAGAAAACACACATGCTTGATAGACGCATATTTATGCGACTTAGTTAACTAGTTTTCTTGCATTTACGTTATTAGTTCTTAGTTATTTTAGTACTTTAAGCTATTTTCGTGTGTTTGTAGGTCCAAAGGGCTAAGGTAGCAAGAAAGTGCATTTTGGAGCAGTTTTGAGCTTGGAATGGATTACATATGATATGAGCAAGATGGATGGACGAATTTTAAGTCAAATGAGGATAGAAACATGCTAAAAATGTGGTGAAACAAATACAAAGTGCAAGAAGAGATAAATTTCTAGAAGGATTGGCCAAAACTTCACTAAAAACCATGCATACCTCATAAAATTCATCAATGCCGTGGCCTTCCCTTTGTTTCACTTCCACCAGATTTTTTAGTGATGATGCAATGCCTATCTCACCATGACATGTGAGTGGATGATGCAATGCTTAAATCACCATGACATGTGAGTGGATGATGCAATGCTTAAAATCACCATGACATGTGAATGGATGACTCAATACCTAACCCACCAACAATTCCCACTCTTTGCCATGCTCACCTACTCAATTCCACCAAAATTTTGTGTTAAACAAGTCCATCCTCTTCCTATAAATACCATGGTAGCAACCTCATTCAAATCATCAAAAAATTAACCATTCTCCAAGCCTTTCCTTGCCTCTCCTACATATCTAAACCCCTTCCCATCCATTCCTCAAAATAACCAACCCTTCAACATCATTCCAACCTTGTTGTTGCGGCAAAGAGAAGGAGAAAAGTCCTTGGACGCGCTTGCTATCCAACATGGATCGTTGGAACGTTTAGGTGCTTTCTTTCCTTTGTTTTTCAATGTTTAAATTTGTTTATCTTTGTTTTGTAATAATGAGGAACTAAACCCCCCTTAGCTAGGGGGAATTCGAAACACATGTCCTTGCTTGCTATATGATTTAATTACTTTTAATTGCGTTTCATAAGTTATGAATTCAATTTACTTATCCGTTCGTATAAAAACTGATTTATGTATGTTGATTGAGGGTCGACACTTAGTTTGCATGCATGAATTTGATGCTAGAATATAAGGGAGTTTCACCTAATTGTCATGAACTTATATTCACAAGTAGTGAAGGTTGCTAGTCACAATCGCGTTAAGTAAAATCTTGGCAAGAGTAACATGCGTATTCCATAGTTATGAATGCCTCGTCAATGCTTATGATTTTCATAGAACTTAATGATTCTTGCTTGTATCTCTATTATGCAATTCATGTAGGGAACTTGTGAAGAATGCTTTGGGTTGTCGTATGCAATCATCCAACTCAATAAAAGTAGGAAAATCTGAGGGTTAATTTAAGCGTACCTAATTAACTTGGGGCATTGAGAATTAATAAGTTATTGAAATGCAATTGGAAATCATTTTGTATGCAAGCGAGACATGTGTGGAGAAGAACCCCTTAGCTAGCCTTCCATCCATTTATTTAAACCAAATTCATTTTAAAACTTGTTTTGTTTTCCAAAGTTTATGTTTTGTTTCTAAATTCATCAAATCCAAATCCCCCTTTACTTTTAAAGTCTTTTATTTACATTTATAACTTTGTTTTTATGTTTTTTTTGAGAGGATTTAGCAAGCCCTCCTAATCCCCGGCCTAGAACGATACCCTACTTACATCTATACTACAATTGTCAAAAAGAGGGTTTAATTTGTGTGTCAAGTAATTCTCACACCAATGCTCAAGAAATAGATTGCCAAACTCTATGGTGAAATAGAAATCTAGAGGAGAGACAAAGATGAGCTCGAGATGCAAACACAATCATCGAGTACATAGACTCCAATACTTGGCGCCCGCCGCCGTCGGGCGTCGCTTGAGCGGTGGCCATTCTCCGATTGTGATCTACTCTCCTTTCTCTGTGGGTCCGAGGGTTTTTGTAGCAGCAACATGCGCATCCGTCTGTGTGGAAGCCATGGGAGCACCTGATAATCCCGATGCGATGCGGTGGGGATTGAAGCGGGGAAGGTGAGTGAAGCAGGAGGTCCTCTGCAGCACGCAAAGAAGCGAATGCTTCAAAGACTTGACGAAGGGGTAGAAAGAGGGGGAGAAGAAACTGTGGTTGAGTTTAGGAGTTTAGTGAATGTTTTTCTGGAAAAGCCCAAGGAAGGAGGTTCTGGGTTCTTGGGTTGTGCAGATTCACGGTGGAGGTTTGATAAAAAAATGAAAGATAACCGACATAGCTTTTCGTGTCGTTTCCCACAGACGGCGCCAAATGTTGATGCACAAAATCCGGAGGATCTTGGACCAACGTAAATCCGGCCGTGAATCACACAAACGCTCAAGAACACAAAGATGTATCATGGTTCACCCCAATATTTGGGCTACGTCCACACTGATGTTGATTCCATTTACTGTATGAATGTATGGATTACAATAGATCGGCCAAGGAGCTCTCTGTGGATGCAACCCTTGCCATTTTGCTCTCTGTTTGGCTGAGAGGGTATTGCTCTCCATTGTTGTGAGGGATGGATCTGAGACCCTTTGTTTCTCTCTGGATGTGAGGCCTCCCCAATAAGGGTGAGGGCGAGTCCATTTTATAGAATAAGGGCTCCCTCCCCTTTTACATTTGTCATGGGCTTAGGGGTGAGGCCCAAAGACGAGGCCCAATATATGGTACCAACACTTATAATTTAAATGACTGAAAAAGAGTTGTATATAAACTACAAATGAGATCGATATTACTAGTCAGCAGCAGAGCTAATAAACAAGGAAAGCAATGGATGCTTGGCTAAAGCTAAATGTCTACAAGGAAGCCGATGAGCTAATTTGAGTAGAGTTGATTGCTTGGTTGTTTGAGTGTCCTTAATCTTTCTGCCTCTGCTTCTTTATATAGAGATCTGAAAGAGCCCTTGCTGAGAATATTGAACTTGCCCGAAAGAAACTCCTTTACAGCTTGCATTGTGAAATAATATTAAAATAAGCAAGTTTGTATCTCCACCACATGTTTTCACCACATGTCTCCACCACTTGCAATAAACTAACATTTAAAAGAAGCAAGGTGACTTGTTTCATCCATATGTTCACTTCCATGTCTGCATGTTATCTTCCAATCCATAAGCAAACATTTGTTTTGATTAAATAAAGTTCTTGGCAAACCTCCACCACCCACATAAAAAGGGAAAAATATTATTTTAATGCCAAACTATCCCACTTGATAGCTAAATATCTTCCAAGTTAGCCTTCTTGCACATTAATCCTTCAAATGTCATATTTTACCCAAATGACCTAAATAAGTGAAATGGTGCACATTTTAGGTGCAAACAGAAGCCTCCCAAGTTTTACAAATTTGAGCAAAGTTTGTGAAATTTACAACTCTCATAGGCTCTCCTAGAAGATTGAGCATATAATAATCATAAGAGACATTGAGCATGAAGATCACCTGGAAAAAGCCTTGCCACCAAGTCATGTTTTCTCTTGTAACAAATGGGAATAATGCATGGTTTGGAAAGCCATTGAGAAACTTGTATGAATGGTTGTAAAGTGCAGCCTTGATCTGTTCATATGTTGTAGCTTTCTCAAACCTGACTTTCCAATGGCCTTGGTGGCTCCAGTGCTGCTAGGAATGATGTTGAAGGAAGAGGCACATCTACCTCTTCGGTCCTTTTGTCGTTGATAAACTTGGCAAGTGGAGCAAGGCCATTCTCCCAAAAACCTGTTGCTTCTTAACTTCAGCGTTTCCATCCGAAATAAGGAGCCTATTGTGGCAGGAATTTTTCCAGAAAGAGCATTGTAACTCAAATCAAGCATGACCAAATTGTCCAAATATGTCAAGAAATCGGAAGTTGTCCATAGAGATTGTTACTTGAAAGATTAAGAAAGGTTAAACTTGATGCGGTAGGTGCACGCAACCAAGTAATCGGCCCGGAAAAATTATTATTTGAGAGATCGAGGAATGACGCTTGTGATAGAAATGAGGGGATTGGACCTTCCAATTTGTTGGAAATCAAATGTAATTGAGGGTAATATGCAAACTCCAATGTCAAATTTGCAAGTATTGGTCCTCCAATTTGATTGTGTGAGAGATTCATGAAGGCCAAATTAGGAGACATTCCTCCCTAAAACCAACTTGGAAGGATATCGAAAATTCCAGCATTTGAAATATCAAGTCTAGAATAAAAGTTCTGAGTTTGAAGCCATTGTGGAAAATTTGGACTTACCTTGCAAGAACCTAGTATTATATAATCCAATTGGAAAGGAGGAATCCAATCCGAATGGAAGTTTAAAACTAGAGAGTTAAAGGACAAATCCAAATATTTCAATCTGGCAAGTCGTGAGAAATGGCTTTCGGAAATCACCCCTTCCAAATGATTCATACTAAGGTCGATACTCTCGAGCTTAGACATTTTCCCAATAGTTTCAGGAATTATTCCACTTACTTGATTGCCAGAGAGATCTAAATCTTTCAACGACAAAAACTTTATAAGATTAGGAAATGGCCCGACAAGATGATTGTAAGAGAGGTCCAGAAACTTTAATGAGTTTTGAGCGCATGCAGACATTAATAATAATATTTGAACCCACTGGGAAAATTGTCCACTCAGTCTGTTGCTCCTGAGGACCAACGATCGCAAACTACATAACCTAGCAAAAGAATGCGGATTCCATCCTTCAATTTGGTTAAAAGAGAGATCAAGATAGGAAAGCGAGGTCATGTTTCCAATAACACCAGGAATTAGACCAGTTAAATTGTTGCCAATGAGGTCAAGATAAACAAGGCTTGTACTGTAGGCTGACAACCATACGAATATTGAAGAAGATGTGAGACGGTTCAAACTGAAATCAGCATGAGCAAGATATTTAAAAGAATTTATGGTAAAGAGAGTGGAAGGCATTGGAGGAGAATGAAGAGAACAATCCCTTAATGAAAAGTCTCTTAGCTTAGGGAGCTTATTGATTGCTTCGAGCCAGTCATAAGTGTTATTGAGACTGTTGTAACTCAAATCCAAATGTGTTAATGAAGAAAGACGAGGGAGCCAAGAATTGAGATTTTGCACAACATTAGTAGCAAAGTGGTTGTAGGCAAGATTGAGTTGTAGCAAGTGTGAAAGGTTTCCAAGCTGACTTGGAATTCGACCACCAAAAGAAGCGTCAGAGAGATCGAGGTATCTTAAATTGGATAGGGAACCAATGAAATCTGGAAATTGGCTCCCATTGAAGTCAATTCCATAGAGGCTCAAATATTTCAAATGCTGCAACTCAACCAGTTTAGGGCTTATCGTCTTACCTTGCAAATCATATGGTAGAAGATCAAGTTTGATAACATGATCACCTTTGGTTTGGTTGCTGCAGAAAACTCCTTCCCATGTGCAACAATAAGGAGATCCCCAAGAAGTGAGTTGGTTGTATTCATCCACGAGGCCTTGTTTGAAAGCAAGGAGTGCTTCCCTTTCCCTCTCTATGCACCTCACCACTCCGCCAGAAGCATCACCGTGGCCAAGTGCTTCTCCTGAAGAAACTTTATCATCGAATCCAAGGGATAGAGAAGGGTTGAAATGTTGTAATGAGATTAGCACCGCAATCAAAGCATAAAAGTGCATGTTAATATTCAAATCAACGTAGAGGCGATTGAATAATCAAGAAGCAGCACAACTATTTGGGGTTTGTTAATGGAATGTAATATCAAAAAAGATGGGAGCACAATGAAGGTGCAAGTATATGGGGATGTATGAGTACTTCACGAACAAGCTTGCATCGAATATACGTACACAATTAGTTGAAGCAAATTGTAGCTAAAACAGTGACATGGAAAAAGCAAGTTAAAGTGGCCAACCAACCCACAATATCTGCTTGACTTGGCTCAATGCAAGTGGCCAGGTATTGACTATACTTTTACTAGTTGAAATATTGACGCAAAATTACATATTTTTTTGCCTTGATTTGGTTGATTTTTTATTTTAATTGTATTTAATCTTTCAAATCTTGCAATCCACAAAGAGGCGTATGCCCAGTTGGCTATGCAACAAGACTATGCATGCTGGTTTTATGTAAGTAGGAAAAAGGAAAAGAAAATTCATGTATCTTAGTTTTTTGTTCTTTTGATATAGGTTCGGAATCTGTAATGTGCTGAATCGGAGTGAACTAATATTGTTATAGACTAAAGAAAAAACAAAGTGAATGGTGTTATGCATTATTGCATGTATTTCAAACTTGAGAGTGTCTTACTTTATATTCCTTGGAAAAACTAGAGTAATAACTTTACAAAGACCAAAGATCAACACACTACAAAGACTAAATATATATAGCAATCATGACTTTATATGGGGCATAGAAAATGAACAATTTATTGGGGGAGTCAACCACTGAGCTCTCTATCATGACTTCATATGAGGGGCGTAGAAAATTAACAATTTATTGAGTGAGTTAACCACTAAGTTATCTTAGTCTACCACCGACCTCAATCCAAAGATTACGATCCAAATTATGAGTTTGAGGCTATGATAATTGCTTACAAGACTCGCTAGGCATTTGGTATTTTTATCCCATCATCAATTCTAGCTCGGAACAACTTCTTTAAAAATAAAAAAAAAATAAAAAATATATAGAAATTGTTTATTAAATCAACATGGAGAACTCAAACAACGAATGACTTTTCCCTCCATTATCTCATCGGTCATCTCTTTCCTATTTTACCGCTTTAAACTTCAATGCCCTCAGTCATGTTCCTATCGTCATTCACTTAACCAAAATGACAACTCTTTCTGAAACTGAAAGGGAAAACTTGCAATGAAGCAGAAGCTTGGTCAATCTCATCTGTGGACTGCTGATTTAAACTCAAATGTTGAAGATTGTGACGAGGAAATTGATGTATGTGGTGATGAAAATCTAGTACTCTAATACATGGAACGAGTTCATTACCATCATGACGTCTCTTTCCACAAAAGAATGACAAGTAATTTTTTTCAACACATGTCATTCGTTTCATAGATCAAGACGCTGCGTGACTTTTAACCCATTTCATATAAGTTGTGGCTTTGTAAGTGATGTTTTACCTCAATGCTTAGACTTTGGTATCAACATTCACTACAGCTAGTTTCGAGAATCCACCACCCCATTCTGTCATTCTGATATGGTTGGAAAAAAAAAAAAAAAAAAAAAAAAAAAAAAAAACTATTTGAAAGGAACTCGTCAAATACTAAATACATTATACATATACTACAAAAAGTAGATGAGGAGCTCAATTGGTAAATAAAAAGTGAGACTTGACAAGAGGGGTAAAATGGGAAAGAACAGTCTAATGAGATAATGGAGGGAAGAGTCATCTGTGGATTGAGTTCTCCATGTTGGTTTAATCAACGATTTCAATTTTTTTTTAAGGAGCGAGAATGTCAGGTGCCTTGCGAGTCTTGGTAGGACCTCAATCTTACGTATTTCAATTGAAAAGGAGAATTCTAGTTGGAAGTAAAAAACTATTCAGTTAAAAAGATATTTGGTGATACATTCGGCACGCGAATGACGAGTTTAATTTATAATTTTTTTATGACTGAATTTGTATTGAGTGGAGTGACATTTTCTTTACTATTTTTTATACCTTTTATAGAAACTTTCTTCATCAGAATTAAGTAATTCAAACTCAGTTCATTCCTTTTCATTCAAGTGATTGATGTAATGTTTTGTCCCACTTGAATACTTTTGGGGTATGTTTATTACACCAGACTATCTCGAACTGGACTAACTTCTAAGACTAAGCTGGACTAGCTTAGAATAGACTAAGCTGGACTGATTTAGTGAAGCGTTTGGTGCAATGTCAGACTAAGAAGCAAGATAATGAAGAGAAAAAAAAACCAATGATGTATAAAAAATATTAAATGCTATTTGCTTCATTCCAACACCAAAGTAGCAGAAACCTAAGCAATTCTGAACCGAGGTACAAAGCTAAATATAAGCAATTCTTAGGAAAAATTTGAGAAATCAATGAAACAATTCCAAAAAAAATATAACAGGTGAATTTAAGCCACTTATCCTTTACACTCACAATTCTTATAACCAGATTTCAACTTCTAACTACAAACTAAAACAAAGAAACAACAAAACCAAACTAGAACGTGTTCTTTCTTGTTCTAGTTTTCCTTTACACTCCCATTTCTTGTCCCTTCTTTTTGGGCTCATTTGAAATGGATGACAAAAAATGAGACACAACCAAGAAGAACCTACAACAACAAATCCTAATTCATATCACTCAACCTGTTATTTCTCTTCAGCTTGGGCTTCTTATTGCAATAATGAGGAAAAAGAATAAACGAATGCAATACTACCAGCCTTTACAAAATAACTACACAACAAAATGTGTTGTCCTTCGCTTCCTTGGCCCCGAAGACACATCCTCGTGTAACATCATTTCTGATTTGCAGCACTCTCAATTCGCTTTCAGAACTCAGAAAATCCATAACTTCCTGCACTCTGCAACATTTTGAGTGTATACGGCAATTGGCTTTCAGTGGTTTGCTGGCTGCCTTGTGTTCTGAAGAGAGTTGAGGTAGCTCAGCAATAGATTTCACCTTCTCCCAGCGACTAACAATCGCCGCTAACGGCTGTTAATAACAGTGGAGCCGCAGCTGCAGCAAGAAAAAAAATAAAAATAAAAATTTAATCCACGGACAACAGTTGCAAATTTCCTTTCACCAATTGTGGCCGCTAGAAAAAACAAGATTGACATTGAGAAGCAGTAGTGGCTTTAAACGAGGGGTTGTATCTTTTTAAGAATTGTTAACTTTATAAACAAAAAAGAGAAGGAAAACAAAACTAGTACAGCAGCAGAGTTGTTTCACAACATCAATCACTGGGAACTATAATTCCCGCAATAGTTTATGAGGATAAATTGAATGTATTAAGAATAGAAGTACAAGTTTGAATATAAATAGAGATTGACAATTAGAGGGTTGGCTGCAAACACTCAATGAGCAAGATTCAAGAAAATGTGATTCATTTGTGGGAACTCAAACAGGGTAGCAAAAGATCCCAACAGTTTTGCAATTTCTAACAATTTTCCTCGGCTGAGAAAAAGAACACTGGTGGACACAAGTTGATGCCATAAATATGTAATGTTTCCATATAACAAAAACCTGAAGAAGTATGATTTTATAATACTCAAATAACTTATTTTTAAGGCATCTTACCTTCAATTCACCAGTGCTATACTGTAGTGTGACTAAACCCAACATCTTTGGGGTTTATCCCTTCATCTCCATGTGCTCATGGCACAAGGGCCACCAGTGCAAGCAGCAGTGTGTCAAGCATGGGTCACACGGCGACTTCTGCAGTCAACAACGCAATCAAGCATTCAGCAAGCTTCAATTAAGAAAAATATATTCCGCATGACATAAAACATAAGCTAGATTGTTTAAAAACCTCACAGAAAACGCGACCCAGATATTCTTATGCAATATATAAGAGATGAATTGTGAATCCATTAGTCTATGACCAAACTTACTGCATACTAGTTAAGCAAGTTGAGGTTCAAAAAGTTGGGGCAATAGCAGCACACGCATGATGCATTAAGATCAAGACCAGAACACTAAACCAGATCATCTTTCTAAAGTGACGACACGCCTTTGAAGTACATTGAGCAAAGAAGCAAAAATTACCTCCATAATCCACTCCAAGTGCCAAATTTTAATCCAAAAATTAATAAAATCTTGATTAACATTATTTTATCAAACCTGATTAACACAAACCTGATTAACAAGTTGGTGGAGGCTGAAGAAGGTGGTCGGTGATGGAGCTGGAGTTGCAGGGCAAGGCGTTGCTGCCCTTTTTGGAGCTGCAACTTCACAAGTTTGAAATTGAATCAAAATTACCATCAATCAATTCATCAGGCAGGTTGAATTTTGAGAATTTTATAGATGAAAGAGTTTAGGGAGTAGAGAGAGAAAGAGATTGAAGAGAGAGAGGAAGAGAAGCGTAACTGAGATGGTGGGA